TAAATACTAACCTTTTATCGAATAGGTTACTAGGTATTTGCACCTTTTGTTTAATTGGTTGGCAAACTTGAAATAAGTACTTAGTAATGTCCAAAACAAGAAAACTGCTTGCTGAAAATGTCACATGCCATGTTCATGGCTTCAAGATTTTCATAGGGCTTATTACATAATCAGCCAAAAGAAGAAAACAAAACTTGGTAGCAGGTATCAAACATTTCACGATAAGGTTTCCATGAAAGGCATTTTCAGATATGTCGAGAGCCATATGGCTTTTTTCGCAACTGAGCTCATGAGCTTCTGGATTTCTGCTTGCAGCACACAGCAAAGATTGCCCAGAAGTTTTTTGAAGCCACCCCACTGCAAGCATTTAGCTGTTAGCACTTGCCAAATCTGTATGGCAAAGGTATGTGCACTCTGTACAAATCTTCTTTCAAATGGCAATAAGGCACTGCACAGGCCAAGTCATCTGTGTCCACCATCATAGGACTGCACTGCTGCATCTTGCACAAGCATGACCCTTTTTGAGCATCACACTCCAAGATGCTCCACAAATTGACAAGGGTCATGACCTGTCCATTGCAATTTGCATGGAAGTAAACCTGGCCCACAAGCAATGAGATCTTGAAGACAACAGCATCACCTTTCTGGCAAGAGCCTCCTGGTGATAAAAAGGCTTTGTGCGATGTTGACAACTCCTGCGCTGGATGCTCGCAATATTGCTGCATGAACTCCTTCAGCTTCTGAGTAGGGCAGCTTTGCTTCTCAAGCCTGGTTGCTAAAGAGAAAGCTTGCTCATCCTGCAGCTCAGCAAGGCTATGGCCCAAACATTCCAACAGAATGCTTCTGTCATACTGTGTAGTGTTCTTCTGCAAGCTTCCATAGCGCTTGGCTACTTTGTGTGCTTTCTTTCATGAACCCAGGTGCTTGGCAAGCATCCCCATTTTGCCAGATGTCTTGGCATATGGAGAACCCAATGGAATTTGGGGTGACACTGCTGCTGCCACCCACAGTCTATGCATGCTTGCAAGAAGTCAGCAATAGCTTTTTTCAATGCTTCTGGTGTGCAGCATTTCACAGGCATGGAGTGCAGCAAGTCCACAATATTGGCCAAGCAGATGTAAGCATGGAGCTCTTGAGAGCAAACTCCAATGGGGGCCACCACCTGAAGCAGCATCAAAGCAAATAGGCTGCACATGCTTAGGCCTTCTGATGCTGTGCCTTTGAATGTGCCAGCCTCCTTGTTAGCAACCTTTCTCTTGGCAGAAAACATATTGCTCAGCTTCTCAGCTCTTGATTTGGGAAGAACCCATGCTGCAAAATACTTTTCGCACTGGGCATAAACATCCACTTGGAGTTCCTTCTCCAAAGCAAGAAGGGTGAAGTGCATCACTGTGTTCCTTATCTGCTAGCTTGGTTTTAGCCAAATCCATAAATTCTGTGGTTCCAAATTCGACAAACAAGCAAAACATTGATGTCACAAGCCAAGCAGCCATATGCCCTTTTGAAAGAAGCAATGCATCCAGTCATGTAGCCATTGGCTAATAGGCTTCACCAACCTTGCCAATGATGGGCTGAAAATCATTGCATCAGGGTTATAGGTGATGCCACTGGCCTGTTGCCAAAGGCCGAAGTCAGTTTTGTTCAGCTCTTCATGCTTTTGGAGCATTCTCACCCTGCTTTTGTCAAAGTCTTCATCACTGGTCAGGATGAGGTCTTGCTCCTTGCAAACTAAGGATGTTAGCCTTGCCAAGTCGGCTTCTTGTCCATGAGCCACAACATTTTGACAAAGGATGCAGCGCCGGGTGCCTGAATCACCTTTAACCGAGAAGAGATACTTGTGTGCACTTCCATCAGCAAGGAAGGCACCCAGACGAAATCTAAGCCTGTGGAGCTTCTTGGATGGATCTTGCAGCTGCACACCCAAGGCTTCAGGATCAGCTTTGTGGCTGTTGAAAATAGATTCCAAGATAATCCCAGCCAGTTGGCTAACCCCACCAGGCAAAGCATTGGCCAGATTAGATCTCTGGCAGCAGACAGGCAACCAGGACTGCTCTCTGGATAACAGGATTGGGCCAAATTCGACAAAGCTGAGATAAACGCACCACAGTTTACCTTGCAAGCAAGAGGCTTGCAACAAAACAAATAAAGCATGCTACTCTGCTTCCAGACCTATATAAAAAGCAAGCTGCGTACATCAATGGAACCTTAGGAATATTGGAAACACCTTACCATGCTGCCCAAGAGTCGATTCTGTTCCACAGCAAGGCTATTCCCAGGCTGCACTTCATCAGCATAAAAGCATAAAGTGAGCTGCTTCCCCTCATTGTTGGCAATTGTGCTGATGAGCAGCTCCCTGAAAGGCTTGCGCTTCAGAAAAAAACCTTGCAGCAGTGTGAAAAAATTTGCGAAGACCACTGTGACTTTGGCATTCTCCTTGCCAAGGATGATTAAGCTTTCCACCAAATCACCATAACTGCTCATATCCAAAGCTTTGACTGTGGCCTCCTTCACATGCTTTCTGCCAGAAAGGCCTGGC